ATCTTTCCAGTCTCTAGACGTTACATTCAGATGATATTCAAGTTTTTTTTTTTTTTACTTTTTCGCAACTTCACAAACCAAGTTGCGATGGTACCCCTGTCTATTAGACCTAAAGATTGCGTACTCGGTAATCTGAACGTAACATATGGCCACTTTCCTGTTAGCGATTCGCAAGTAGCTATTGTCTTTTTGCTGAGACCGTCTGATGGAAATGTTGGTGGTCGTTATACAAAGGTTAAAGTGTGAATAGGTCTACAACAGGGTGGTCGCTGGTCGCGTTGGACAGGTGGTCGCTATATCCAGTGTCTTTAACGTGTAAATTGCGAAGGGACTGTACTAAGGTGGTCGCTATGAGCAGGTGGCCGCTCTGCACAGGTGGTCGTTAACACAGGTTTGACTGTATTTGGGAGATACATTACCAATGATATTATTACAAGATAAATGATACACTTCATTGAACACATACAACAATGCATATTCCCACAGAGATCAGTGACCTTTGAATGTGTATCACCACTGATTAACAGAGTAGGAAATTCCTGCCCATCAGCACGCCCGAGACGGGCAACTTTCGTATCAGACTGGTTGAATTTCAAACTTCCTTGTTCGGTGGTCGGGTAACATTTGACCACATTCTTCCGCCGAAATTAAAATAAAAGCTCTAAATGTGCTCTAAACATTCTAAACAGAAACGTGATCAAAACAATGAAAATATTGCATTGACGTCGCACATCGCGACAGGCCGACACGCATTCTCAACCCACAACACAGAATTCATTGACTTATTAACATAATAATAGGTACGTGACCTCGGATCAGGTCCTATCTCCCATGGTGCAGCGAGACTTCCGGTGACCCATAATCAGTTCTATCATTGCGTAGTTTGTTTACAACGTTCTCGTTTCACGTACAACATGTATCGTTTTTGGAGGATAGACCCTCCAACAAAGAACAGAAGTTAAGCTTGATCGAATTGCGGCAAATGAGGAGTATAACTATTCAAAACGTACACGTAAAATCGTTCCAAGCTGGAAGACTTGAGTTCAAGGAATGGCTGGTCACCGATGACTACGACAATCATACGGTGTATTGCCATATCTGCCGGGCTATTCACGGGCCATTATCAAACCGCAAAATACCAGACAAACTCTGTAAGTACGGAAAGGGATCGTTTGATTAGATTCTGACTATGGTTCAGATTTTTCTGATTTAGCTGAGAGCAACAGTGACACAGATGTCTGAGATACACCATGTTTTGAATATGCATGTTCTCTACAGCTACTTTGTTGTTAAAATAAACCGTGCATAGTATACAACTTGTGTTTATTTGTGTGTGTGTGTGTGAAAATAATGGTAACTGGTAACATTTTAGCAGGGCTTGTAACTTTTGAAAGTTACCAGCTCTGATGTCTGGTATGTAATCTGGACAAATTTGTAAATTATTTGGAATAGAATTAGTGAGGTTATTGAGCGCACAATTATTAACAACGATGGGGACGACGCCAACAACATTTTTGCCTAAATATACCTTTCCCTTCCATTTTTGATGATATATACAAAACATATGATACATACAGGCAAGGTAAAAATCTAATTTGAGAGGCCCACCCTTTATTTACTATATGTATACAAACATTACCAGATATGGATAGCCTCACTGCTGTATTTGTAGAGTGCCTTTCTCAAATTAAAGTTGTTAGTGTTATGTACAACGAAATATCAGCTATTTTTTACATGGTTATTGCCATATCACAACCAAGGTAGTTCATAAGGTTGTTGCCATGGCAATTGTTATCACCTTATTACAAAAAGTTCCTGCATACTAAGCATCAAAGCAACCAAGCTGATAGTTTTCAAGAAGACAATAATATAATTTTTTTATCAAAACTGAAAAATATATTCGTGTGTTGTCATGAAATGAACAAATCTCACAGGTACACCCATGGTACCTACATACAAGTATTGAAGCAACCGAGCTGGTAGTTTTCAAGAAGTCGAAAAATAAAATTTTTTACAAAAAAGGCCAGAAATATTTGCGAAAATAGAATTTAAGATATCATAATGAAATGAACAAATCTGACATGGTTCCCACATACCAAGCAATTATGCTGGTTTTCAAGAAGTAATTTATCACAAAGTTGACATGGATAGTTAATCAATATATTACCGCAAGTCAGTGTATTTGTATTATAGGCATGAAATATTGCATGACTACCAAGCAATGTTCATAATGCCAACGGACATGTATGTTCAATGCATGTATCAAGTTTGAACAAAAACTGTCTATGCACGACCTGCATCTGGTTCCAGAATAGTAAAAATGTGTGATTTTGATGCATTTTTGGCATTAAAATGGCTTCCATTCGACCACCTTGAATTAGATCATGAAACAAATGCATATGACTGATTATAACATCTGATTTACATAGGAAGTTTGAACTTGATCGGCCCAATCATGTGCGAGATATGGCCGGGTACAGACAGACGAACGCAAAGATGCATGCACAAAGTTCAATCAATCGTCATTTTCAAATTTTATACAAACAGGGAGGAATTAAAGATGGCAAGTTTAAGTCATTCATATAAACATTTAACTTACTTTACGGTAACATGCAAATGGATATAAACATAACTGAATGTATATCCATATGAACATTTAGGTAAATGTAAATATGAATATTTAAAGAGAGGTTGTCGTCGCCAGATATGGACTCATATTACCAAAGATGGTGACTTTGACTTGAGCAGATCAACAAGTACAAACTGAGGCGTTACTAAGCTTTAATTACAAAATTTTTCAGGCAATTAGAAAGTATTCACCCTCGTCAATTAGTGCACACTGTGCCCAGGTCAAAACTCGTACATGTAATTTCCATTAGAAGAACTGCGAGAAAATCAATGTTTATCAACACAAATGTTGCACATGCGCAGCGCGACGACCAAAGCCCTTTAACAAAATCAATGCATATGAACATTTAACTGAACTTGCATTTACTGTGGAATACTTTATTTTAGCTGGAATTAATTTTCGCTGAAAAGGCTTTTTGGGCGTTTGCTTGGAATTTATTTTCACTGATTTTGGATGAGTTTAATGTGAAAATATAGGAAAAAAAGTATATTCGCTGGATTTTATTTTCACGGAATCATCCCTTCAGCGAAAATAGCGAAAATAAATTCCAAGCGAAAATAAAGTATTCTACAGTAGTACAAACCAGATAAATGTAATCTAGGACATGACAGTAGCCTAGAGCCAAGAAAAAATACAGCCCATTAGTTCATGTTTTACTTAATAAATGTAAGATGAATGTACATACTTTGTCTACTTTTTATTGATGCAAGTTCTTCATCAAATGATTGACCTGTACTTCTAGCAAATGATTCAGCTGTAGCACAGTAGCCATGATGTACTAAATATGTAGAGACAATTCTAAAACAGAACACAGAGAACATGATGCAAATCCCTGTTTGTACTCACAAGTCAAGGTAATCAAAGTGAGAAATACAAAGCGTGATGTTTTATCAATGTTCCAAATCAACTCTGAGTATATCTTAAATATAGACTTGTGTACAATTTTGGTTTGCTATGGCATTTTAGCTATTTAATCAGCATGTCTTGGACATAAAACCTTGTCATTGTCATTTGTTGCAGCTAAATCTGACTTTTCATATGAGGAAAATGGACTCAAGAGCATATATAACAAACTGAATAGTGCTATACCTTTGTAGTGTAGTTTGCCATTCGCCTTTACTATCAGCTACAGGAAACCGTTCTATTGTATGCCGGGTTCTGGCTCTCATTTCCTGAAATGAATTTTAACATATGTACATTACACTGAATAATAGTGCTAACCCAAAATTCTACAATAAGCACTATAGAGAAGCACCCTGCCGACTTTATAACCATAAGTTTAATTATCATAACAAAGAACACAATTCAGATGATTAACATATTCTATTGCATGTAAATTAGTTTCTATGCAATGCCAATTTTCTGGAGAGAACAATTCACAACTCTAGCTCATCATATTTAAGAAGAAAATGATAAACAACATGCAGGAAAACATTATGTTGAAAATGTTGCAAGACACCAAGTTCTGCTAAAAAAGCACTGTGTTTGATTCGGGAAGGCAGATTGGATTTGGTGTACTAAATGGTATGTACACTCAAGTTAAAAAGCTTACAATTACAATTATGAGTGGCACTTGGTTTCAGAAAAGTAAATTGTTTTTCCAATCTCTATAACAATACTTGTACTAATGTTTTAAAAGGTTAAAATTTTTGTGGGCAATCTGAAACAAACTGTAGTAGGAGACCTCATTTCCACGTTCATACAAATTACTACTACTAACCTTCATCATATCTGTGATATCAAATACGAAAGGACTCTGGCCAAAATTGGCATCTACCACTTCACCAGGTGTTTGCAATCCCACAGTAGGGTATAAATTAGGCTGGACAAGAAAGAACATAAACTATGAAAGCAGGATCACTGCAGTATAAATTCATGTCATAAATAGAAGCATCAATGACGTCTATAGTGAGCAACTATCAATGTACATGTGAAGATTTAATTTTTCAACAAACTGACAGTAAGAATTAATTCTGTACATTTGAGTTAGGATTTGCCAGCTTTGCAGAGTTCATAAGATTCCAATGATACATACTGCATTTGCTGTTTTATACATTGCATTTATTGTATGCTGGATCATAGATTCATATATATGTAAGTACATATGCTACAAATAGCACAAATACGGTCCTGATAGTTTAGAAATTTAGTTGGATAAGTTGGATCATTCATGGTTTTACCTCTAATACTTAGAAGATGCAGACAAAAGCAGTACTTACTGGTAAATCTGTAAATGCTATGCCTAGAAGAAGAAGAAAATATGAATGACAGAGTTAGTACAATTAGTTGATCAAATCCTCCACTAGTACAACCTGTCAGTATAGTAAAAAGACTATAACAAATACGCAAGTATTGCATGGAGTATCAGAATTGACAAAAGTATATAGTTAAAATCCTATTACTAACAATGATTTGTGTTACAATGTTGCAACTTCAAAAAATTAGTTCGAAACCCAGTGTTCTCCCCAGGATGTAAACAGCGTGGCGGTCCCGCCACAGTGCTTCGATTTGCCGCCACACCGGTCTGACACCGCCACGGTGATTAGCAAGACCGCCACAGTGCTTCTTTTCATTGGGGGATCTCGTCACGCTGGTCAGCCTGACCGCCACTCAAAATTAGCGACCACCGCAGTAACGCTTCCGACTATTGTCATATTGTTATTATACTTACGTACCGACCGACACGCATCCTGCCAGTCGTGGATAATAATTTGTAAACAATAGACATAGTCGCGTGATGTGGTAGCGGCTTTGATACAACTCAATTTTGTAAAATTAGCACCTCTTTGTTTGTAAGTAAATACTTTCTGACAATAGACGCAGTCTTTAGTTTGAAAGCTAAAATTCTTTCAAAATCAATTCCACCCGATATAACAAATCGGAGTTCACGATCAGTTTACGCTACTCAAGAAAAAAACAACGTGTTTATTGCGTTATTGGGTAAAATACATTTGAACTGTTATCATCGTGAATTATGTAAAAACTCTTCTTTCAATACTTTTTTTACCTTTTAAAAATTTCTAATCACCTCTTTCGAAAACCATCATACAGTTTTCATCTGAAATTCATACATTGTACCAACACATCGTGCTACGACATCGCTTTACTTCCGCAATGTGATTTTTATGATCACGATCATTCGGAAAACTTCGGGTTCTACCGGCAATACCATGCGGCATTTTGATTGGTAAATGGCGTTTTTGACCCAGCAGGTCAAAGGACACATGCCGGTCAACTAATGCGTCATAACTATCATGGCGGGTCTGTGTTTTTCACCGAAGTGATCGAGTGATCAAAAATATCCACTCCCGATAAAACTAAGTTAAATTTAACATTTTTTGCATGGCATCATGACCGAGTAAGAGGAATTATTGGTATAACCGGTGTAAAACATCGCGAAGTAAGTTATGTCACGTCGTAACTTTGATCGTTTGGAAGTGTTATTTGTTCGTTCATTTACTGTAAATGTAAACGTTAGAAGCTGATGGTCGGAATAATAACCAACAATCCGCCAAATAACTACATGGTTGATTTTTTGAAGGAGAATTTTGTAGTAAATAAGATCATGAAAGTGGTGAACATAATCCTGGCTCAAACGTTTCAAATGAGTTTCATTTAACCTTTTACAATTTATTTGTTTCTTTTTAGTCTGCAGCATTTGCATTTCGAGAATGTTTCATTTTTAAATTCAAACTCTTCTAAATTGTGAAACGTAATATTTTGACTTCAAAAAAAAAATATTTTCCCTGTATTACAAAAATGCCCAAAATAAAAGTGTTAATAACACTGTGTGAAGCAAATAAATATCTGCCACTTTGTTTTTAAAAATATATGTTGTTTATTGTGTGGGTGTAAATGTGCTTTGGTCAATTTCCATTATGTAAATGATATGCAAATGATATGCAAATTAGGCCGCCACAGTGGTTTAAATTCCTGGGGAGAACACTGAAACCACAAAGTCAGGGGCAGTTTGTAATGTTGTAACTGAAATTTCCACACAAGAAAAAATTAAAGCAGTCTAAAATCTTATTCTATAAAATCTTATGATACAGTATACAATAACCCAAAAGTCTGAAAAAACAAAAATCACTGCCAAGTAATCTTGGAATCATCTCTCTCAACATGACATGCTAGCAACGTATTTCCAATGCAGGGAGCCATTTTGGCAATATTTGCCTCAAGCATAGGGGGTCTCATAGCCTATGGAATTTAACCCTCCTTTCACTCCCTGGGTCACTCTTTTCAAAACCAACATGGCTGACACTAATGTCATGATCTCTTTTGTGTTTAATTTGGCAGCCTACCAATACAATAAATGTTTCAACTGATTAAATTTACTGGATAAACGGAAAATTTGTTCAGCATTTAACACCATGCTCTCGATTCACATTGACAATGATTCAAGGTTCATCCCGGAAGAGAACAACAAGGCAATAAAGCAAGGTAAAAACTAAGCCAAAATGCAAACTTTCTGAGTTAAAATCAAAATTATCCCCCAGTAGAGAAACGGATGGTAAGTCTACAACAATCCTGAAGGCCAGTAACACATAAAATGACATCCAAGACAAAGAATAGAACAAAAGGCCAATATCAATATTTATCAAATGATCATGACTGTCTTGATAGATAATAATAAGATTTTAATGTACATACAAGTCAAGAGAGGAATGATTTTTTTAGAATACAGTTCATAGATACGACTGACTTCAATATTTAGTCATATGCCCCTTTTTTATAATTTTTAAGTACATTATATGAATTTGCAAGAAATCTTTGAAAAAACAGCACATGAAACATTTGTACAATACTAGAAACAAATTTTATAGTGACAAAACATGCAAAATATTCCAGGTCAACATGAAAATTTATGAATGCGGGGTTACAAAAAATAGTCTTATAATATTCATCTCCCATTCACAACATAAAACCAACACTGTAACGTAGCAACCACAGAACCCAAAATTTGCCCATTGTGTCACAAATTAGAGATATGTTCAGTGTTCCTTTTGAGCAAATTTACATCGAGTAACTTGGTTTGTTATTTTCATTGAAAGGGTCAAGTTAAATATTAATTTCATCATTATGTATTTTCTAAAATTTGCTTAGGTCACTCAGCAAGTTGGACATAAAGAGGGCTTAAAGAGAACACTAAATTGTTCAGCACCTAGTAAACACTAAATTGTTCAGCACCTAGTAAACACTAAATTGTTCAGCACCTAGTAAACACTAAATTGTTCAGCACCTAGTAAACACTAAATTGTTCAGCACCTAGTAAACACTAAATTGTTCAGCACCTAGTAAACACTAAATTGTTCAGCACCTAGTAAACACTAAATTGTTCAGCACCTAGTAAACACAAGGAATTAGGAATCTCACCTAGATTATGCCCGTTCTTTGTATAAAAACATGTATTATCTATAAGATTGACCCCACAGCCAATCACGTCACCTGTAGTAAATGTTGGACCATATGGCTGACCGGTGCCAGAAGAACAAAATGAGTGACCATCATCACCGTGGTAACCATAAGAGTGTTTGTCCCACCCTGTGATAAAGATTAAGAAAATTGACAGAAGAATAAGTAGTATAAATATTTTGTCTATGTCTGTATTAATATTGAATGTTTCACATGTACTCGTGTAAATCAAATAAGATACATACAGGTCAATGGCCATTACAATGTATCATATTTGATCATACCATATAATATATACAATATGTATACAATGTTCACATGAAATCCAGCCTTTAAACACTAGCCTTTAAATTTAATAATTAAAATTGTGTCATACATGTATATGAAATGAAATTACTGTTATTTCAAAACTTGAGTTGACAGTAGGCCTTAGAAAGTATTGAATATACTTCTGACCAGCCTGCCTGAATAATTAAGTCAATCAAACAAATAAGTGAATGAAATAATATGAAAAGTTAAGCATTGATCTATAAAAACAAATAATAATTGTGTTGTTTTCTCAACTTTGTTCAGAGGAGAGTTGAAAACATGCATATTATGTCTGAAGTTACCGTTATTTTGATTAATGAATTTGAAATGCTAATAAGCAGAGTGATAAAATATTCAGTGTTAAAAACACCAACTGACTAGAACAATGCCACCATTATTCTGTTTGAAATGGCATAATTTGCATTGACAATGCATTCACATTTGCGTCTATTTTAATGTACATTAAATATGTAAATACATAAATTATTATTTTACCTGGCAACCTGTTATTGTTCACACCCTGTGCAGACAAGCCAATACCCATGTATCTATAATGATAAAACAAATCACCAATGATGAAATTATGTACGCAGGGAAGTGTCAGGGCATAGTTTTTTTTTTAACAAGTGGTCAAAAATGATAGAAAAACATATGCACTCAGTACACTTAGTACAGACTAAGGAATTGCTAGTCTGAACTAAATCTCATCTGTTTAGAAAACCCATTCCAGTCATTTACTGTACTTGCTCTATTAAAAGCACATCTACAACAAAAGCCATATAAACCAAAAATTGCACTGACTATATCCTGAATCATTAAAATAAAACTAACTTTGAACATAGAAACACTTGTAATTTGTGCAAGCACATGAGGTACTAATAGAGCAAATGTGTAATACAGATTAACAAAGTGTGAGCATTTTGACCCATACTGACTGCTGGTCCCTCTCAGACTTGAACACAACATGGGTCTCGTCAACGTGATGGATTCTAGTTCATTACACTACATGGTGTTCACAATGTGACATGCATATAAAAACCGTAGGGAAAAGAAGAATTGTGTATGAACCAAATCTGAATATAGTAAAAAGAGAAATATTCACTGTATTTTATTAAAACAGATTTAATGTTGCAGGGATATTTACTACTAGGTTCTAAAAACACTGGTTTGTGAAAGAAACAATAGATGATAACTTAGCATATTCATTGGGTTTCAAATTAGCATATTTTGAAATAAAACGAGCGAATAATTAAGGGCTATGCAGTGTTGACTGCCAGCCAGCTAACTTGGATAGGATCACAACAAAAATAAACTCGCCTATGAACCAAGCTTGAATAAACTTGCATTCTCGAGTTACATGAAAATGACCAAAAATAAGCGTTTTTGACACACAAAGTGGCCACTTGTCAGCCAATTCCAAACAATTGCCTCAGTATGCTAACAGGTGTTACCAACACTCTGAAATGAATCTGTCTATGTAACAAGTTTATAAAAAATTATTCCATAAATTTCTGAGAAACTGCACAGACAGAAAGATGAACAAACTGATGGAAACCAATCCATTCATTACCCCAAACTATGCCCAGCAACAAGGATTCCGGTTTTAAAAATGCAGTGACAGGATAGGAGGAAGGTTTTTCTTTCATTTGTAGACTGAAATCTGCTGTACTATTAGAGTACTCAGTACTGTAAACTGTTTTATTTTTTTATGACAAATTTTGCCAAAAATTTTATATTTATATTAAAAATGATACAGTTTAAAGTATTATAGATTTATGAATTGGGAATCAAGGCCAAAATGGTCTTTTTGATATGCTATTTTTTGATATGCTAAACAGAACGTTGAATTACAATAAAATTGACACTATGCCCTTGATAATTAGCTGCTACCTGTTCTAGATATCTATATAGTTGGACATGATGATTTTATTATCGTAGTTGCCTGGTAAAATCTATTGCCCATAGCCTCAATTAAGTTCATAATATATCACATCATGAACACAAGTTGATGATCACAAAGTGTTTTATTACTTATTTTTTTCATTTATATTTATTGCAGTCATGTGATAGAAACATTGTATTTCTAAGGATGCAATAAAATATTATTATGTACACGCAACTATTATTTGAAATGACTTGCTGTAACTGCTTAATTTCAGATATCAGGAAAACGCAATAAATGTGGAATGGAGAATTCAGTGTGATGATTCATTATGACTATTTTTTCAAATTTTCACCAACAATCCTTCGTGGATTTAAATTTGATTTGAATTGATGATTTGAACCCAAATTGAAGTCAGGAAGCTGTACAATAATTTCATGGTAAACAAGTATTATCATGCGCACAGCATAGAACAAAAGTAGGAATATTAATATTAAGTTCTTAAAGTGCAATGGTCGTCGCACAGCGCGCGTTTGAATTTCATGTAAATAAACAATGTATTTTACACACGTATACGTCGCTGTGAGTCCCATATCGAACAGAACGAGACATGACGACTGTCGCCCTTTAAGTAATGCATCGCATTAGTCCACATGGATTTGAAATGGTCAGTATTGATGATTTAAATCGGATAAGTCCCTTAATTTTTGAACAACTCTCACAGATAGTCCATGAAAAGAAAATGTTCAAATTGTCAACTTTTACAGACATTGACAATTTAAAGCCAAATGTCAATATTGATGATTTAAATGGGATATACTTGCATATAAAAAAAAAACCTTCATGGACAGCCCACATGGATTAAAATCGTTTTTGTTAAAATACAAATATTTCCAACAAATCATAAAAATTTACCAAAATTTTGTAATGTGTTTCTATATAACACATCCATGATTTAAAGTAGATTTTCATATATATTGGATATATTGGACACCATACACTGAAACAGTATCCTCAACAAAGACAATGCATCTAGAGGACGACTCAGAATTCACAGAAGCCACTGTAGATGCCTCAACTGGATCTCTTAATGCCCTTCAAAATAGTCAAGTATTTCATCTTTAATCAATTAAATTTTAGTCAGTGTAAGCTATTTTTAGTAATTATGACCTTGAAATGTGGTGCCCTCAGAATAGTGAAGTTTAAGCCATAGTAGAGTTCCTAATTAACACTACATGATGTAGCAACAGCATTGAATTTCAAAACAAACATTACTGTAAGCAATGAACTTGAATGTAAATAATTAACAGAATAGGGACTTCAGTTATAGACAATAGTAATATGATTCAGTCTATCCTAAAATGACCATAAAAGGACAGTGTTACAAATAAATGTATGTAAAAATACCAATTTTTTCTTTCAATTTACAGACAGACTAAATAACATGAACAACATTGTGTATGCTGCTTTATTAATGATTAAAAGTGAGAAAGACTAACATAGAAGAATGCCAGTCAGATAACAAAGGAAATAAACAATGACTATGTGTTGCCGAATAACCTTGACCAGAAAAGTAGAACAAATAAAAGCAGCTTGCTAAGTACATATACACAGTGTATTAATAACACAATGGTTGCTACATAAAGCTACATAGAATTTCATTTCACATACTGAAAAACAGCAAGCAGTTTGATTACAAGCCCCATGATATGTCTGCTGTTAAAGAATTGAACACTAATTTAAAAAGCTGGATTAGGTTTGTGTGAGCTAATTTATCAGAGTATTAGGTTTGAAAAGTTGAGAATCAATAATTTATCAACATGGAAACACATTGTACAATAGGGATTTGTTGGTGATGTGTGTTGACAATATGCTATTGATGATAATGAAGAAACCTAACACAGACTATTGTCATGATGCATGTGATAATCAAAGACCAGGAGGGATTTCCTAGTCTGCTATGGATTTATAAATGCCCTATAAACGAACATGTCTATTGCTTGGCAAGATTGACTTGTGATAGACTGAATCACTACTCAGCTGTGTTCTAAATTTAATATGATTACTATAATATCAAGCAAGTACAAAAATGATAAAGTATCGGTAACTGAATTGAAGACATGTTATTTATCATATCTGTAGGTCAAAAATATTAATTACGTGAGAAGCTAGTTGATTATTTTTTATTTATTAATGTTTCAAAGGGTGATGATTAAAATTTAAAGTTTAAAGGGGAGGGGATGGGAGGGGAGGGGGTGTTCACTACATCAAAACACCATAATGTGTGATGAGATTGGTCACCCCAAAGCATACTGGTCAATCAGACAGACTAGTATGCAGAGTTTAAAACAAGATTCAGGAGTGACAAAAGGGGGATTTGGCTAGAGTTATTAATTGCAGGTTAGATACTTTGACACTGTTTTTGATATTCATATTGCCAGATCAACAACTAAGTAGACTTTTTTTTAATGCATAAACATTAAAAACTGACTGGTAAGTACAAAAAAAAATATAATAATCGAACATTATTTACAAAACAAACAATAAAGTAAAGGCAAAGGTAGAATTCAAGACGACCTTGACAAATGGAAAGACAACCTTGAGACAGCTTTTGTTGACATGCACCACTTGTGTGTTGCACACCTTATTCGTCATCTATTCATAAACATGGTGGCAAATGAAGAATTTTATTAAAAGATGCAACGAAGTACAGCAAGATTTGTACACACCTGGCCACTCTATGGTGAAGAAAAAAATTCCAAAATGTTAAATCCAGATACTGTAGAAACATTTAATTTCACAGTTTTAACTGTCCAACTTTTTTGTGGTGTTTAAATTTTGCTTATTGTCAAAAATACAACAAAGGGTCACATCACATGAAGCAGTCATCAATTTCTTGTTCATTTCCGACATGTGCAGCCTCCAACAGAACGGGTATTTGCTGCACGCCTACCAGTATTACACAGCAACTATTTACAGCTAATTACAGTCTGACACTTAATCACTATCATTTATTTTAAATATTAAGTAAATGAAGTGTTTATAAAACATAAGTGTTTTCACAGCTTGCTGTACAATCAAAAGAAAAATGTCCATATAACCAACACCGTTCTTGTCATTTTGGCCATGCCAATCGATCCATGCTTCATAAAAAAAAAATATCACTCGATAGACAAAAAATACTAAGTATATTCATGGAAGGTACTAATGGAAGGAGCCACAGTAATTGCGTTCACGCACAGCTCCTTAGCACTGGCTAAGAGGTCAAATCCCTTAGCCCGTGCTAAGAAAATGTGCTAACACGTGCTAACGAAGTATGCGCAAATGCTTAGCCAAGGGTTAAGCGCCCTCTGTGGCGACCTTTGGGTGTGAATATTGTCCCATTTTCGTACAACGACTATTCCACCAGTCATTACTCCGCGCTCGCTTTCACACTGATCAGGTCGCTGTAGTAGAGCGTACAGCAGCTCCAATTGTAGACAAAATAAATTTGATTTGCTGTCTACAAGATGCATTAATAAAACGCTGTATTCTGTTACGCCTGTTGTATACTGTTTCAGTGCATCCAAATAAGTTGGGTCTGTCTTCTCTCGCGCTCCTGTGCACGTCGCTTCAAAATTAGAACGAAACATGCTAGCAGCAGAAATAGAACCTTGCGCGTGTCATCCATTTTTCGTTCGTAAATAGCGGCTTACCAAAGGTCACAGACTAATGGCAACCCTGAGCCCGTGCTAACGACTGGCCCTCCCTGTGCGTGGACGCAATTGGGTCTAGCCGAAATGCAAATATGCTAGATAAGCCTAAATCAGCTTAAATCTTAGCCTGTACTTCATGTAACGTGAACACAACTAATGATTAGCCTATCTTTATCACAGATTAGTACGTCTTTTGTTTCAAATGTTTACACGCAACATGGTTTGTTTCCTAACCGTCTGTTTTAGTAACCATGATGTAGCAGAGTTGTCTCTTTATTTTGATTAGACATGAATTAAAAGTGCCAAGCTGACAGACTGTAAAATCTGTGGATTAAAAGTGCTAATTCCAAATTGTGTGCAACGACATTGACGAAATTCAGGACTAAGTTGTTCAACGGCGTCGGCGATGCCAACATGGACTTTGCAGGTTTTGACATTGATGAAGATGGCAATGAATGTACAAATACAGGTCTGAGAAGTTTTTTTCTAAGCAACTATGAACTTTCATAATTTTTACTGTGTAAATTATTATTGATCTTGCATGACAGTTGATCTGGTATTTGTCAAAACTGGAAATAAATTCTACATTGACAACAAATGTTGCCATTACATGTATAGATCAAAGTTCAGTATATTTATAAAGCTTAATAAACTTATTTATTGAAAATACAAATTTTCAGCCCATTCAAATACTAATATTTAATAGTGACCGAGTCAAGAGTTGATTGAATTATGTTGAATTAACTCATTACAGCAATGCACCATACTAACTGAAGCATTGTTTCAGCACACAGTTTGGTGACACATAAACATATAAATACTGCAAAATCTAACACGGTAGTAAAATTATATATTTTTTCCCCCAAGAGTTCAAATTAGTAGATTATAAAAACGCCGATGACAAGCTTAGTGAGCAATCTCTTGAACAAAAAGACAGTGTAATTTGTAAAAGTACGCAAATCTATAGCATGACCATTTAATTTAAAATGCAAATTTGTTGCTTAATTAATTTAAATGCAATCAGAAATTTAAAACTACGCTACTGATAGCTTTGCTATCCAATCAAAGACATTCATGCAATGCGTCACACAGGGCATCTGTAAACGGTAGTGATAGACTTTCAACCATGGAGGTAAAAAGAGAAGGAGTCACAGCCAAAATAATCCTATAATTCCCTTTGTCTTATCGTCCTTTCACCCCAGGATCGTCGCCGACGCGTCATTTACTCTCAAGCGTTGCTGCGGACAGTACACATTCCAAGGTCTTGTTTTATGGTGCGCAGTAATGTCAAAGGACATAAAGCATGCGCAGATTTATACCTAGAGGAAACGTGTTTGTGAGAACGGGAAAGTTGGAATTTTGAAAATCAGAGAATTTCTTGTTAAGTTTATATAATTTTTCGTTTTTCAGCACATTTTCCGTTGTAGTTTTGAATCAGCAATATTCAATTGTAATGTTTTGAAACCTTGCTAGTACTGTTTTTTAGTCCACAATAAAGCTCGTTTAATGATCTTTGCAATGGTGCATGGCATGGACTGCACCGCGTTGTACCAGTGACTGAATTTTGAGGTTCGAAATGACGCTTTTTGAAGTTTATATCTCTTGTATGTCCTACTTCCTACAGCAGTGCGTCAACAAGAAATTCGCTGCATTTTTTTGTTTTCGAGTAATCGTTTCGTTCACAGTATATGGAAAACAATTTTTCGTCTGTAATATGCTCTTTGATTTCATTTACGTCTTCTGAAATGAAGGACATAGCAGTTTCAGCATCGTAGTCAAACTCGTGCGCGTTATTGATCGTCGCCATATTTGTTTATAAGAATTTGACAGAATTGTCACGAAAATCACCGAGTGCCGCCGAAGGCGTCCGTAGTATGCTAATTCATGGTAATCCTCACTGCGCTAAGAGGAAACTGTCCTCCTTGATCCGTTCGGCAAATAAACTCCCTGATCTATGTACAAACAGCGGCGACCATCCTGGTACCTTTGATCTAAGCTTGGCTGTGACTTCTTCTCTTTTTACCTCCATGCTTTCAACCTATCAATAACATGGCACTGAAATAATTTATGCTGAGCGATGCTTTCTACTGTAGTTACATTCATGTTGTGACTCAGAGTAAATAGAAAATATAACAATATACATGGATAAAGTTTACAAATCACTAGATTAATGAAAGATGCAAATTTACCCAAATTCAGATGAAAAATAGTATGCTAATAATTAGTATATGCAAATTGAAGCAGCACTTTCATTTTTTCCTAGGGAGAATGCTGCTTGTAATGCATAAGTTATTATTACACGAAAATCAACATTTACCGCACAAACTCATCTGGTAAGTTATAAAACATGTGTGTGATCGAAAAGTCTATCTTCTGAAAAATGTGTTGGCAAAAAGCAAAAAAGACCAGGGCAGAAAATGGTGCTCAAATGTTACATGGCCAAAACTTTCATTCATCATTATTAAGTACAATGACTCCAGTATTCTCTAGCATTGGTACAGTTGTACATGTATAATTTTGTAGATATGGTTTTTATCACCACAACTGAAAGTAGTTACAGAACGGGACATAGCTTTCTAAGGTCTATGAACAGGATAAAAACAATCCTGCATTCATTTCTTCTTAAACTTCAAGCTGTGTAACATACAATGATTTTGACAAGATGCACACATCTCATTGTGCATGTTACACAGTAGCAACATGCACAGCAAAACCAGAGTATGTTTCAGCAGTAATACCAAATCTACAATCATACAGTTAACATTCAGTGAACACTATTGACATGGTGCCACAGCAGTATGCTAATGTGTTATTTACCCGTCTCGGCCTTTGCTGACGATTTTCACTTCGAAATAATACAACCCACAGGCAGCTGGAATAGGATGAGTTGCCCTGACTGACGCGGCATCTTTATGAGTTTTCCCAGTTCCTAAACATATTAAAAAAACATTGAAATAGATTCAAAGCGCTGACACAAATGTTATTTATAAAAAAATGTTTGTCATTGATTCGACGGATGTAGTGTATTTTTCGCTCAATGGAATTTTACAGGATAACTTAGTGCGAGTACGTGAAGGTCACTTGTAGAGCAGTCTTAAAATCGAGCAATTTTCGACGAATTTAAACTATTCAAATGTTACAATAACAACAATTTATATTTTATGTTGTCGGGTCCAAATTGTTGAAGAGTATGTTCGATATTTTAGTATCAATGACCCCTAAAGCATTCTGTTGTGAGTCATCGCAGTAAAATCAAAACACCCTACCTTTATAATGGACTCTAAGGTTATTTTGGGACAATCCGATGAAGTTATATTTGTCTTTTGGACTCCAGGACCTTGGCAATGATGTCTCGTCTTCATTTACGGCAGGGTAGAACAATTTTAGAGGATCGACTGCACTGGAATTGACGTTGTTTTTATCCATTTCACCGCTGCTACCAGCTCCACTGTCCGCCATTTTGGATCTATTTTAATTTCAGCTGTACAACAAAAAAGAGTAAGCAGGTAAGCATTTATAGTACTTTGCTACGTCAATTTGAGCAGATGATGTTTACAACTTTTGTTTAAATATGTAACGGAGTCTTAAATATTATAATACATTTATTATTATCAATTTTATTATATTAACATTATCGTTATTAATACAGCGTAAAATTAAATCATTTTTAATCCGCGGCTACGTTCCTGGCAGTGATGCTTTTCATTTTGCCCGGATGAGGTCCGGGAACGTGACGTCAGCGACGCCGAATGTAAAGCGGAAGCGGATTCGTGCATTGAACCACAGAAAGAATAACTCATCCTATTAGAAGCGTTCTCTCACACGACGAGCATAAGACCAACATAGCAAAAAATGACAAATCCAAACAAACAATAACAACAATAAATAAACAGATAATATTCCATATACTTAGAAACCTGTCAATAATTATAACAATAATAATATTAATAAAAATTGTATTTCCTCTTTGTAAAACAAAATTACATGGGTACCAACAGCAAAAAAGAAAAAAAATAACAATGAAGAAAAAATATTGTAACTTTTAAATTAAATCCACTCAATAATTATATAAAACACAATTATTTAAATTATAAATAAACTGTGTGTGTCACTGGTCCGCTTGAATGCGACATGGACGTATCTTGTGTTTTTTGAACAATCTGCCTGAAAATCGGTTTTAGGTGTGTTTCGTTTTTTATTCATAATTTCCTTCTATGAGACCTCGTAAAAATGCAAGTTGAATCTCAACATAAAACATTTTTTTAACCTGAAAAGCCAAGTAAATATTATAAGAAACATACTGTCCAATTACAGCCAGACTTATCGTATAATCATGGAACTATAAACTATAAATAAATATACATCTCAACTGAAATAAGCCTGAATGACGATTTATTCCATTCTATTCTATTTATTCCATCTTAACAGAGAAGGAATTATCATTCTTCACTCTACGTTTCTTACATAGCACAGTTTTTTTTATGTTATTGTTGCCAGTAGCCTAGATATTTATGAAAAGACGGATTGTGTGGTAATCTCGATATCGACACTCTATAGCGGTATTTCTCTTCAAGACGCAATTCGTATTGTATTATTTGGTTTGCTTTTTGATACCAGTGGTCCGTTATTTTATTAAGGGGAACCGCTCAATCCCATGGATTGCACCAAAGAATCATGGGACACTATTGTTTATGTTGTTTACAATGTTAATCTATCTTTTGTTATCCATTGTTATTTTAATCCAGCAAGTAAATTTGTTGTGAGATTAGGCTTAACTGGAAGGTGCCCCTTTAATATAAGTTTCCAGAATACTAGTAGCCTTTTTACTGCGCCAAATTGGTTAAATCGTAGAAAGTACAGTGTCCAGTACAATGATTTTATGTCCATAAAAATGAAAGTAATAAGTATAAATCCGTGTAATTAATTCTAAAATATCTGCAAATTTACAAAATTCGGCGACTCTTTATTTTCGTCGTTATATTGCCCGCCAGGTTGCAATTTCTGTTCCGGCAATTTGACACCAGAGGGCGCTCACACTTGTCTGATGTGATCAAAAACAAAGCAAAAACGTTCAAATCAAATTTCAAATTATTTTTGCTAATAAAAAGCAACCATTTTTGCTATAATTATTTATAACGTCTAAAACCTAATCCAATTTTAATTATTGTGCGCCGTTTTTGGGCCTGTCACCTGCGCAGTAAGTTAGAAGAACTAGGCGATTTTGCGTAGTCTTGCGAATTTAGATTTGAAATTCATTTATTTATATCACGGTTACTAGAAAATACTAGTAACTTAATATCCACTCTCCCATGTGATCGGTATTACTAGTACATGTATTCCCTCACTTGCTGTGTCGGAAGTGTCAGCTGACTCGATGTTCACTTGTTTTAATAAATTATGTTGAGGGCGCACTCTGATTACCCATGTTGCTTAGAGACGCCGCCATATTGTCACTGTCGTTTTATTTGTCAACACTCGTTACCATCAATAAATGTCTTCTTTTCAGGTCTGATTTTCAAAATAGAGAAATTCCGCCAAGGCGAGAATAAGTCAGACATGTCGTCGAATGCAGTGGCCAAGTTGCCACCTATTGCAAGGTATGAAAAATTGTGATTTTTTCCATGACATAAACATCATAATATCGGAGGTACTTTTCATTCATGGCTGGCTCGGCATCATCGTGATCATGTGTACTGCGGTCAGTTAGGATGTGACGGTTGTACCATTCAAGACATCCAAAATACGAAAATGAATACTGTATTTGCCATATTAGTCGGCACATGTACTTACGTTAATGACGGGTGGTTAAAATATCATATTCTAAAGTTGCACCCTGAGCATCAATGTACAGGAGGTCATGGAGCAATTTTGACTTATTTGATGTTCTTAATTTTCGGAAAATGTTCTGGGAGTTTATCTTTATACAGGGCTTTGAAGTTATGAAGCAACAATCTCAGAGTATCATATAAACCAGGGATTGGGATGGAAGCATCAAAGACAACTGATGTGGTGTCCAACTTGTTTGCCTTGGTGCCCTTTGAAAAATAAAATATACGATTTTTCCTAAGACAATTTTATCAAATTAAAAAAAATAAAACTGAATGACCTATATAATGCATGTTTACCTTTGTAACCTACAGTTATTACTTATTAATACTAGATGATTGTTCAACAATGATAATAATAATAATTGTTTTTTGCATCTTTAGAAATACATATTTGATTCAGTACATGTATATAGCAATGTAATATGCTACATGTAATGGTTGCAGTGGTAACATAGAAAATAAAGTCTTAACACTGTATACACAGCAAAAAACACACAATTATGTCAACAAGTACATGTCTCAAACCTCTGCTTATTTACTGCACCAAATTGTTTTGTTATAAAATTGACTCAGCACTGTGTTCTATATCGCCATTTGGTGCAGCACATGTGTGTTCTGGCATGAGTATTAAACTCACAATGTTATCGATATTAATCCGAGGAG